ACAGTTTTTGATCCTAAGAAGAAGATGCAGTTTGCTAAAATGTGTTTTGAGAAGTTGTATGGGAAAGACACTTTAGATGCTAAGGGAATGTTTCAGGCTACTATTGATGTTCTGCGTGACTTGTTTAAAGAGTATAGTGCTCGTTTTGAAAGAACTGAAGCTGTGCAACCCTCTCAGACCACTCCAGCAGCCTCTTTTGGTAGCCAGGAGCAGCCAAGTGTTGAAAAAATTGACTTGATCAACAATGAGATGGGCTATGAAAGGATGTATTTCATGTATGAGGAGTTGGTTGGGAAAATATAAAATCGAGAGTCTAGGCATGAGTTGGATATCTATCTTAAAGAGAGTGTTGTGAATCCGAGAACAATGGTTGGAGCTGAGTTTGATGTTCTGTCTTGGTGGAAGACCAACTGTTCAAAGGACCCGGTTCTTGCAGAAATTGCTAGAGATGTACTTGCAATGCAAGTGTCATCAGTTGCTTCTGAGAGCACTTTCAGCACTAGTGGCCAAATTATAGATTCCTATCAAAGTTGTCTTACTTATTCTATGATTGAGGTGTGTCTTACTCATTATATGATTGAGGTGTTGATGTGCTCAGAGCAATGGGTGAAGGCATATATTCGATGTGGTGGGTCTAGAATGGAGACAATAAAGCAAATTCTTAGTGAATTTGAATATGAAGAGACGCTTAAGAGAGGTAATTTTTATTTAATCTTGTATTTAAGTTAATCTTTATCATTGTTACTAACTATAAGAATTTCTTGCAGAGTTTGATAGACACTTAGTTCAGGAAGGCTAAATAAGTTTGTATGCGGTTCATGTATAGAAGGTAAACACGATTTATCTACAGCTTGAATTTTTCAGAGAATGACCATTGCTTATTTGCTAATATGAATTTATTTTCTTTGATGCAGGACAATGTTCAGAGTATGAAGCAATTTTTTATGTTGAAGTTTGGGTGGTGAAGACTGATTGGTTGAAGGCTTTGTTTTGTTGCAGTTTGTGTGTTGTCTTAATTTCGGATGAAGGCTTTGTTTTTTGTAGTTTTAGATCTCTTGTTCTCGGATTGATGTTTTTTATTTTATTTTATGTTATCTGCTTTTTGTTGTTTGCTTCATGTTGTTGGTCTATTGTTCGGTTGAATACTTGTTTTGAATTTTATGATATGTTATGTTTGTTTTGAACCAATGCTCTTTGTTTAATTTTATTATTGTTGAATCATATTACTTTGGTTATTTCGGTTCCATTTCACCAAACATTGGTTATTCCAAAGGTATGTAACTGGACCCAAACTCGGTATAATGGTTAACCTCAAAAAATCAAAATTTTTATATGAAAACCGAACCGGTCCGGACCCGCAAGGACCCGACTTGAACCCGATCCGATTTTTTAAAATACCCGAATGAGACATTTTTTCAAAACCCGTATAACCCGAAACCCGAAATACCCGACCTGAATCTGATTGGGTACACCCGAATGCCCATGCCTAACTTGGCTAGTATTTCTTATACAACAATCAAGTACTGAAAGAAAATGCCAACAATGGCATGTATGTTTTTATTTGAAATTGACTCCTTAAAGAAAAAGAATCTTTATTTTAGTTTCTTTTGTTCTTGATTTTGGATTGCGTTTACTACTCCATACAAAGTCATAGAAGTTTGCTGACTTAAATAAACCCCATCACTATTAACCTTGTTTCTTAAAGCTCAAATATACATCTGCATTCATTTGCACCAAAGCGAACTCTCAACTCATGCCACTTGGCATAAATTCATGAGGCACCACATAGTAATGAACATTTGAATGGAACTGCATTTCCGTAATAGGAAAACGAAACAGACAGTGGGAAAAACCATTTATACATGGTTTTTGCATAGTAGTCAACTCTTTTGTCTTAGGCCTTAAATTTAAAACTACTAGTTACATGAGCAGCGTCAACAAAAATATCCACAACACCTTCTCAGCAGATTTTAACCAGTTCACGAACTGGCATTAAAATGCACTGCATCGAAGTTATGTTGTCAATGATAGCTAACCTAACCGTCTTACCATTCACTCTACCTTTCTAGAATCCTTCTCAAAACACAGAGATAATCTCTTCATTTCCAAATTTACAGGGAAAGATAACCTAACTTCAAAATTGGAACCTACCACGCCAAGACTAAGCATGAATTTACTTCTTCATGCTCTGCAATGTGCAATGGAACATCACCACCATATCTTCCTCCTGGTACTTTCCAGTCTAACATAGAAATTAATGAACCAAATGTAAAAACTCAACAAAGTCACTACCAAAAGTATGTGTATTCCCCCAAAACACCAATACACATAATGAGCAAAAGTGACATGTAACATGAGGTGGAGGAATCTGACCTTGGATATTATCCTCACATGGCCACATGGAGTTTTCAATCCTCCCACCAGCGGCCACGACTGTGGACTCCCTTCTTGACGACCATGATCCATCGTATGAACTGCAACATGAATATCTCATAGAAGCTGATCACATGAAGACATATATTCAAAAATAAGTTTCTTAAATTAGAAACAGAGATGCCTTAAACATGAGATAGATAATGAAGCCTGATTCTTCATCCCGTGAATTTCTTCTTCTTCTTCTTTGCTCGGATCTCACTCCATACTCATTTTGTTCTCATCCTCAAACTGATATACCTCAGATATAATGGTAAGACTACTGATATAACTCAAAAAAAAAAAAAAAATTGTAAATGAAACTGATATATCTCAGAGAAACAAAAAAAAAACAATCAAAGAGAGCACATACCCACCATCCACTTTCTGGATCTTCCTTTGACCTGCTTAGACCTTAAACCTGCCGTAGACTAGAACTGATTGGAACCATAATCCCACCATGGCCTTGATCTAATTGACTTGTTAATGGCGAGGACTATCAATTTCAATCTAGTAACCGATCAACAAATCTTTTTTCTTCAATTGTATGAGTAATCTTAGTTGCTCAGTTAAATATATTTGTGAGTGGATCTGAAGTGAGAGAGAAAAACTGTTACAGTCAGAAAAACGAAGGTAGATGGCATAGAAAGTAAATTATACATTACTTTCAATTTAAAAAAAAAATGTCAATCGACGAAGTGGTTCATGCGGCTTTGGTCATTGACAAAAGAATATGAAAATTAGGAGAAGCGCCAGCTATCACAAATTTCCCAATGCATATTGCTGAGGAGGATGATTGTGGAGAGACTAAAGCCAACTTTATAATATAAGACTACTAATAACCTCTGTTCTAAAAGCTAGTTGTTTTGCCGCATAAACGGTTGTCTTAGCATAGAGACCTTTCATCCGCTTCGATTATTCTAAATAGATCTTAAAGGTCGCATATCTGACATTAGTTCGTCTAGATTGTCTAAATGACAACCTAACCGTCTATTTTTTTTGGATCTAAAATATTATAAATACTGCTTATTTGCATAATTTTGATAAAAAAATATACCGTATTAAATTTATATATATTTATATTTATGTGTGTTTATTGTATTTTAAACATAAAAATTGATTAGTTTATAAAAAGATAAAAATTAACATATTTTATCTCTATAATATTATTTGAGAAGTCGGTTTCCTACGTGTCGCGCTCACGTTAACTCTCACGATGGTTGATTACATAGATACCCTTAATGAATTGTTAGATTTTAAGATTATTATTAATTTTTTGTGTAATTTCTTTTTTACCTTTTTCCAAATAACATATATAATAAAAAGGAAATATTTCTAAAATTTTAAAACAATTTTAAGAACGAAACTATATGTATATAATATGACTTATTTAAAAAGGAAAGTTCACAAAATATTAATACCTCCATTAATATATATTTTTAAATAACATAAAATATATTTCAAAATAATACAATTATATATGTTCATGAACATCCACAAATTTATCAGTTACACTTTATTTCTAATATTTTTTAGAAATCAACATATAATTTGATAAATATTATGAAAATATAATTTGATTTGACAACTAAAATAAAGAGTAAATAAATATTATGAAAATACATGTATATTTAAGCGCTACATAAAACTAATTTGATTTGACTTAACTAAAATAAAAAGTAATTATACTTCAATTTTAATTTAAAAATATATTTAACTCAATATACTCACAAAATGAATGACTCGGCTAATCTAATTTATATCTAAAATTAAACATCTAACTACAATAAGAATATATCATTTATTATAATAATATATTTAATTTTATACATATAAATTAGAGGTTGACACAAAGCATATTACAAAGAATATTCATAAAAGTAAAATTTTATAATAATTGACTGATATTTAGTTTTAGTTTTGAAATCAATTTATATATATAATTTATATTAATAATATTATATTATTCTAATTATACATAGGACTTTGGATATATTATTGTCAATTTAATTATTTTTGGATCAATAGTCGGTTTAGTTATCAATTTGGTATATTGGATAATATCTATTTTTCAAGTTCAGCTATAATATTTTTTATTCTAAATATATTAATACGTTGATTAATTTTATTATTTTCATTCCGGTTGGTTATTGTCTTAGATATGTAAATATATTCTTAGATATGTAAATATACTATGGTTAAATTATGTATAACTTAATAGATAAAAATGAAATAAATAATAAGCTGAAGTGCTGTATTCAAAATTACATAAATGAATGTAATGATAATATTTTGAGTATCATGCATATATATGAATTCTACAAAAGAATTAAATTGTAATTGGTTAATATTTTCTTTTTCAATCTGTGCATAAACACGGAAAAATCACCTAGTAATATATTAAATAATATTAAATTTCACCCTATATAATTTTCGCCTCAATTTTTTCGCCAATCGATAGGATTGATACAGCCGTCCGATTAGCGATTAGTGACTAGCATCATTCCTAACACAATAATTTTACAAATGAGTTTATAGAATTTTGCGAAACAGAGCGGATGAGATAAAACCTCAGACGATTTCCACCGATGTTCTCGACGGTCATAAAGCCCTTACTCTCTCCCTCACCCTCGCTGTTTCGCCTTCCCGTTCTTTCGTCACGCTCACTCTTCTTTCGCGTCTTTCCCTTATCCTCCTCTCACTTTCACTTCCACTTCCACTCCCAGTCTTCTCATCCGATTACGCCTCTCCGTTCCTCCTCCCGCAGTAACTATACTCGCCGCCACGTGTCTCTCCCTGACCACCACCTCTCATGTTCCCTTCCCGAGAAGCCTCTTCGTGTCGCCGTCCTCCTCAGCGGCGGCGTCGATAGCAGCGTCGCCCTCCGCCTCCTCCACGCCGCTGGGCACTCCTGTACAGCTTTCTACCTCAAAATCTGGTTCCAGGTCTGTGTCTGATTCCTCATCTCATGTTTTCTTCTGTCTAGAACATTTGGGGGTTTGAGATGTTTCTATGTTCTGTAGGAAGGCTTTGAGAATTTCTGGAACCAGTGTCCCTGGGAAGACGATTTGAAGTACGCAAAGCATGTCTGTGAGCAGGTAGTGTTCCTGATAAATGCTTAAAAACCCTGTTATTATCTCAACCCTGTGATTATGTTCTCGATTTTTTAGAGTCTGTCTTATTCGAAAAGGTTCATACTTTATACATGCTGGAAGATATGTTTACTGCTTGTTCAAAGAGGTTCATACTTTATATACTTAAGAGCAATGAAAGGGAAGATGTTTACTGCTTCTTGTGGTGTCATTTTACAGATTGATGTACCTTTAGAGGTTGTGCATCTAACAGATGAATATTGGGAAAGAGTTGTAAGTTCTTTTCTTTTTTTTTTGCAATGCTTCTTTTTAGATTAGCCTAATGGTTTCTGATTTGATTTTTCGATGATAAGTTAGGTTTCTTACATTATTGAGGAGTACCGTTGTGGGCGTACACCTAATCCGGATGTTCTATGTAATACTAGAATCAAGTTTGGTAAGCTCTTCTGCTTAATAGTTTGTGAAGCAAGAGTTTTTTTTGCTCATGAAAAGACTTGTGGTTCTGTATACGCTATTGGGTATCTGCTACTATGGCTAATCAGCTAGAGATTGATCTTGAATTTTTTTAAGGGGCATTTATGGATGCAATCAGTGATATGGAGTATGATTACGTAGCTTCAGGTCATTATGCTAAAGTTGTCCATCTCCCTGCTGGTCCATCTGTTTTGGAACTCTCACAAGACATGGTACTTCAACAAAAACACTCATGACTTACTGTAATGAAGAGGATGTCATTTGTTGGGTGTAATGTTTAGTACCTCTACCATTTAATCTCTGTATTGTTCTCTTTATTTTCAGGTGAAGGATCAGACCTACTTCCTCTCACATCTCTCCCAAACCCAGCTTAAGCGGCTCCTGTTCCCACTTGGTTGCATAAAGAAGGTAACTCGAAGACGTTTTATAATTGCAAAACGCACTACCTCTTTTCCATTTCGAAACGTATGAAAGACAATTTGATTTGTTAAGTGGTGATTGTCATGCTTTGTTATCTGATGTACAGGAAGAAGTTCGCAAACTAGCCACTCAATTTGATTTGCCAAATAAAGACAGAAAAGATTCACAAGGAATATGTTTCCTTGGGAAGGTATAGTTCTTCTGGCTTACAACAACTTTACCTGGTGGAAGCCTGAAACATATGAATATGTTGTTCTGTGATAGATTAAGTTCAGCGACTTTGTCGGAAAACACATAGGAGAGAAGGAAGGGATTATACTGGAAGCTGAAACGGGTGATTTTCTTGGTAACCATCGTGGATTTTGGTTTTACACTATTGGACAGCGTCAAGGCTTGCGTCTACCCGGTGGACCTTGGTATGCTTGCTTAACTTGTCATCACCTTGCTGAGATCGTTTACCTCGTCTATGGCATCATTCTCTCCCTACCTCTGTGCAGGTATGTTGTTGAAAAGGACACCAAGAACAATGTAGTGTTTGTCTCAAGAAATTACTACTCAATCGACAAGAGGAGGCGGGTTTTCCGTGTTGGATCCTTAAGATGGCTTAGTGGGAAACCTTCAGGCAATGTTAGCCAGCTTCGTTGCAAGGTAAAAACAAATGATCGATTACTTTTCTACACATGATGTCTACTTGGCACTGATAAGTTGAGTTTATAGGTCCGACATGGTCCTGGTTTCTACAGCTGCAGCTTTGAAATGGAAGCAGAAGGAGATGATGTTGCGGTTGTACATCTTGATGAAGACGACCAAGGTCTAGCTGCTGGACAGTTTGCAGCCTTCTATGAAGGAACCACTTGTATCGGGTCAGGCGTTATCCTGGAGTCATGGGATGATCAATGCTTCCCGGTTTGTGCAAAAGCTCTTCAACTTGCAGCTATGGAAGACAAAACCAAACTCGGGAAACCTGTCAAAATCATGACCATGCCAGTTACCACACCTGTCGAGGCTGAGCCAGGAGAAACAAGTGGAGAAGAAAAGCTTGTCAACGCGTGAAACAAAGGAAATGTAGTACTAGTCTGAAGAAGCTACTTGAAGAGTTTTAAAATATAAGATGGCTACTATTATTTAGGGGAAAAAACTTTAAGTTGTAACATTTGATAGTTTGGTTATGTCTTCATATATATGGTTGATCATCTGGTGATTGCAATTGTCTGAGTCACAACGTTCACCTCTTGCCAAGAGACCAATGCAAAGAACAGCTTATATCTGCATAGGAGAAGAAAAACCCTGTTTAAGCTAGAGATTCAAGCTACCTTGTTCCTTTGCTCCAGGTTCAAATGAGTTGTCACATATGTATCAATTAATCAAAATTACTATTACACTTATGATTTGTCATACATATTTTTAACATACATATTACATAATTTTAATAGAATATCAATCAGTTCAAATGTTTTCATTTGAATATCTTTCGTGAAAGTATTAGTCGTTCCAAAATATGTGATTAAGGTCTTTACATGTAGACTATATATTTTGTGATGTTAAAAAGAAAAAGACTATACATTTTGTAAGCAAAAATAACATATATATATATATATTTATTTATTTAATTTTTAAATAATAATCAGTTATATGTCTAAGGGTTCAAAATTACATTTCATTAATCTTAATATGTTGTGCGTGGATACTTTTTTCTTAAGTAAATACATTATTTACATAATAACCAATTAAGGTTACTTGTAATTGTTACTTTGTCCTAATTCAAAAAATGCACATGCTGCATGTGTTTGGCAACTAAAAGTCTAAAACAGAGTATTTTCTCTACGAGTTAAGCAACGTTGCTCACACAATTTAAACACAACTTCACCCACAAGATTATGAAAGTTAGCCATCTTCTTCTTGTTTACTTTCTGTTTCTTCCCTTTCTCAAGCATGACGATCTTTGCGGCTTTTGTCATTGTCCCTCTTGGTTTGCTCTTCTTGGTGCCAGGGCTCATCATCAACCTCATTCAGGTCGTCAATTCACTACTTACATAAGGAATCTTTATTTTTAATTTAACTGTCTTCTCAATGGAAGAGACTGCTTGATACATATGGTTTCTTTTGGAACACAGCTTATGTTATTCATCTTTGTTCGTCCTGTCTCAAGAAGTTTGTATAGAAGAATCAACACAACTGTTGCAGAGTTACTTTGGTTGGAGCTCATATGGCTCGTTGATTGGTGGGCTGGTATCAAGGTTCGGTGATTCTTTTCAGTTTCTTTATGTGGTCTTTAGTGATAATGTAGTGACTGTGCAAAAAAAAAAAATAACAATAATAAGGTAGTGATTGTGATGTTTTGATACTGCAGATCAATTTTTATGCTGATGCAGAGACTCTTGAATTACTTGGTAAGTTGGTTTTATAATTATGTTTCTTATATGTCTCATGGACTAGTAGAATATTATGTTAAATGTTTATGATTTGTACAACATCTTCAGGTAAAGAACATGCACTTGTCTTATGCAATCATCGAGGTGACATTGACTGGCTTATCGGATGGGTCATGGCTCAGGTCTTGAAACAAGACTTCTTCATTACATTTCCCGCTTCTGTAAATTCTAGGGAATCTCTGTTTCTGTCTCTAAATATTGTATATCATTACGATGACAGCGCTCAGGTTGTCTTGGAAGCACTCTAACACTCATGAGGAATGAAGCTAAGTATCTTCCAGTGAGTTTGTTTCATCAATGAGCCATAACTCAAAAGTTCTCACTTTATTGGTTAGAGCTTGTCGCATTTAGGTTTACCGTCTTTATCAGAGCTTGATTAGTTTTACGGCCTGTTCTAAAACTTCTAAAAGGCCGTCTCTACTCGACCGATTAACCGTTTTATTTTCCAATGATAGCCATCTTTATACATCAATAAAAAATAACGTTGTCAATTGCTTTACACTGCACTAAACTTTTCATACTCAAAACTACTTGTTTTTAGTGTTTGGTGTTGAATAAGAATATTTTCTAGAAAAGTTAGAAAAAAATATAGATATTAAAATTATAATATATTATATATATATATATATATATATATATAAATTGACATTCACTGACTATTATCATAATAATATTTATAACAATTCTAAGCCAAAATATTATTTATAAATAATTCTTCATTAATATCTATATCCATATATAGAAATCAAACAAAATATTTCATTAAAATATAATAATAATTTTCTTAAGGAATTTTTTAAAGTTTTAATGTTCTTAAACTAAAAAAACATAATAGTATCATTAGCTAAGTAAATTAAAATATTTTATATTTATCATAATAATATAACTTTTGATACTTTATACATATTTATAAAGTATGAACAAATTGCTTTATAACGTATAAAACCGTTATAAAGTATGAACAAATTGCTTTATGACGTATAGAAGAATATTTTGTAATGTTTTTATATTTTTAATTTATTATTGAACTACTGATGCATATGTTAGTCTACTAGTCCGTACAAATTGCTTTATAAAACCATCGTGCATCCACAAAGTCTCGCAGATCCTTAATTAGTCATATTTTACTGAAACACTGCAACTCTATCACAGATCATAGGTTGGTGCATGTGGTTTTCAGAATACATCTTCTTGGCAAAAAACTGGGCCAAAGATGAAAATATCCTCAAGGTTAAGATACGTGATCGATTATTCTCTTGAGCTTAAACTGTTTTATGGTTTATACAACTGAATCTAACATCAAGACTGTTGCAGGCAGCTTTATATAACCTGAAAGACTTTCCTACAACGTTCTGGTTGTGTCTTTACGTGGAAGGAACTCGGTTCACTCAACAAAATCTTGATGCTGCTAAGGCTTATGCATCTCTAAAAGGCTTACCATCTCCTCGCAATGTTTTGATCCCTCGTACAAAGGTGAGTTTTACCACAACTTTTGCTTTCTTTCAGGACAGTTTTTGAGCATTACTTGACTTGTGTTTACTTGCATGCTTGTGCAACATCAGGGCTTTGTTGCAGCAGTAACTCACATATACAGTTCATAATAAACATACTACAACAACACTGCTTAGTATGTTCAGTGGCCACTCATCTGAAGTTACAGAAAATTTATTTACGTTATATACCTCTCGGTTTTGATTGATCTACTCTCACTTATCAAGAAGAAAGCTTTCTGTTTCTTTTTTGTTTTGGAAGGTGAATTTGCATGTGAGACGTTACCGAATGAACGAACTGCCAGAAACCGTAGATGGCATTGCACAATGGTGCCAAGATCGGTTCGTCGCCAAGGTTTAACAAACCAAAACAAACTCTCATCATCAAACTTTTTTTCATTTGGTCTCTCATCTCTTTTGTAAAAGGATGCTCAACTTGAAAATTACTTCACAAATGATGTGTTCAGCGACTTGGACGTTCACCATGTTGGCCGGCCTATCAAACCATTGATCGTAAGACACATATAAAACAGTATCAAATTAGTGAAAAACGTTGCTAGAACTAACAATCCTTCTCTTTTATGATACCGCCTGGAAACAGGTGGTGTTAACTTGGTTCTGTCTCCTCATATACGGCAGCTTCAAGCTATTTCAGTGGTTCTCAATGGTGAAGATCATATATTTGTTTGTCTTTCTCCTGGTTGTTGCAACTTTAACAATGCAACTTCTGATCCAATCCATATCAAAGGGCTCGTTAACTCCTACCAAAAAACCTCTACTAGGATCTCCTCCAGACAGGGACTTCAGGTCGCCTTTCATTTCTAATCAATAACCCATATGTATATCATGTATATTTTATGTCACGTAAGAAAACATCCTCATGAATACACATAAACTTTTAGCAGTTTCAGTCAGCAAGCTTTTTAGCTGTTTCATTCAAAGTAATGTCATGTCAGGAACTTGTGTGGCTCGAAAGTACACTCAACGAGCTCCCCATATGTCTTCCAAGACAATGTAAGCAATCATAGATTTTCTTGATCAGACCCCGGTTTCCGATTTATCCCTAGCGATGAACTCAAAGTAAACTCCGTTAACCTCAATACAACTGAAACCCTGAGTCTTCTCTTTCATCCATCATCCTCCTCGCCCCCTTCGCATTCTCCCCCATATTAGCCTCTCCATACATTTTATCCAACAACACATAGATCCCGCTATCATCAGAGAGAATTAAACACGGCCGGTTTGCGCGTGGAAAATACAAGCTGATAATAATCCTATGAAAGCCATCTCATCTGGGGCTACATAACCATTAATAGCAACAGAACCATTGTACCCTTCTGAGATAATATTTTTTTCTACCTATCAACACTGAGCCTTCTATGGGTCATCAGTTAGTGAGATGATCCGGCCGCACTCCAGGCCGGATTAGTAGGCCAGGGTGTGGGCCCGTTCTGACGGTAAGTGGATTAGTCCAAGTCATTTATATATTACTCAAACCTCTTTCATATTTTAGATGTGGATCTTTTCTCCAACAATCATTTCGCTGAAGTAGATCTACGTTGAAGTATGATATAGCAGTGGAGGCATCTCCGTGAAGAGCCAAGCCACCTGTTAACAATGTCTATGTAATTATGGAGAACACAGCAAGCTTCTGAGATGTTACAATATTGAGAGACTAAGATTATGTTTCTCTACGTAACGATGGATCCAGACCCCTACATTATATGTTTCTCCAGTATTAGTATAGGCAAAGCTTCTTCTCTGGTTAAATTTGTTGAAGATAAACTTGAAGTTGGCTTAGGACGCAAGTAATGCTAATCCTATGGAAGTTGTGATTATCGAAAAAAAAAAAATATGAAAGAATAATTACTATTAAGTTTAGGATTATCTATTCCTATATATATGTTTTTGTGTTGAAAGATTTATGTACATGATTTGGGAGCTTTAGTTTTTGAGATTACTTTTCTAAGGCAATACGAAAGTGAAAGTTGTTTTTGAGATCTTGAGTTCTTTATTTGGTATCAGAGCCATCTATAGAAATCAACTTTTCTTTGAGAACAAAATAATACTTTGAAAGGCAATGAAATATCCAATGCTCAATGACTCAAACTACACAGCTTGGGCTATGAGGATGAAGATTGCTCTTAGGGTCAATAAAGTGTGGGAAACAATAGATCCTGGAAGCAAAATTGAAGAAAGGAATGATCTAGCAATAGCTTTGATCGTTCAATCTATACCTGAAGCTTTGATGTTACAAGTAGCCAAAGCGATTTGGGATGTAATCCAAGCTTGACATGTTGGAGATGATAGAGTTTGAGAAGCTCGTCTACAAACACTTATGACAGACTTTGACAAACTTAAGATGAAAGAAGAAGATAGCATTGATACCTTCATCAGCAAGGTAGCCAATTTTCATCGAAAGCAGCTTCCCTTGGAGAAATCATAGAAGAACCAAAACTAGTAAAGAAAATTTTGAAGACTCTACCAAGAAAGAAGTTCATACACATGGTTGCATCCATAGAGCAGATGTTGGACCTAAATACTGCAAATTTTGAAGATGTAGTTGGAAGAATGAAAGCTTTTGAAGAAAGAATACGAGAAGAAGAAGAACAACAAAATAATGAAGATGGGAAACAAATGTATGCTAATGATTCCCAGCAAGATGCTTATGGGTCTGGCAGAGGAAGAGGACGAGGAGGACGAGGAACTTGGAGAGGTGGAAGAGGCCGAGGAAGATATGGAGGATTCTATGCAAAAAAGGAAGCTTACAAGCAAGGCCATTATGGAGCTAAAGATAAGAGTCATATTACATGTTTCTCATGTGATAAAACTGGCCACTATGCCTCAGAGTGCCCTGATGCAAAGCTTAAACTCCAAGAAACAGTTGAAAAGAAGGAGGATGCACGCAAGAAGCTGATAATCTGATGATGCACGAAGTCGTTTATCTAAACGAACAGAAGGTAAAACCAAGTAACTTTGAGGACGAGTTTGGCATGGAGAATCTATGGTATCTTGATAACGGAGCTAGTAACCATATGAGTGGAAACTGCTTGCTCTTTAACCAATTAGATGAAGATGTGACAGGATTAGTTCGCTTTGGAGACGACTCACGTATTGAAATAAAGGGAAAATCTTCTATCAGGTTTATTATGAAAGGAGGAGACAAGAATGGTGTTGAGTAATATCTACTATATCCCAGGTCTGAGAAGCAACATAATAGGTTTGGGACATGCCACCGAGGCTGGATGCGAAGTAAACATGAAAAACGAAGTTCTAAAGTTGCTAGACCGAACAAGACAACTAATGATAAAAAAGTACAAGGTCAAAGAATCGTCTATACAAAGTTGTTTTGCAAGCGGATGTATTCAAATGTCTGCAGATCACAACAACTTCTGAGTCTTCTAAGTGGCACGCACGAATGGGGCACCTCAACAACGAAACAATGAAGATGATGGTGAGTAAAGGTTTAGTTGTTGGGATACCTAACATAACAATAGAAAAGGAAACCTGTGTACCATGTCTACTCGAGAAACAGACTCGGAAACCTTTTCCGACATCCACGACATACAAAGCAAACAAACCACTTGAACTCATCCGTGGAGACCTATGTGGACCCATTACTCCTACCACACCTGGAGGGAAACGTTATGTTTTTGTTTTAATTGATGATTTCTCTAGGTACATGTGGACGGTGTTGCTCAAAGATAAGAGTGAAGCCTTTGAGAAATTCAAATGTTTCAAGAAACGTGCAGAACAAGAAACAGTGAAAACATTCAGATCCGATAGAGGTGGCGAGTTTCTTTCTCGAGGATTCAATGAATACTGTGACAAGAATGGAATCAACAGGCATTTAACAGCTTCATACCTTCCACAGCAGAACATAGTTGTAGAACGTAGAAACCGTACTCTACTAGAGATGACCAGAAGCCTACTCAAACATATGAACATGCCTAATCTGTTTTGGGGGGAAGCAGTGAGACACGCCACTTACCTGATCAATCGAATTGCAACAAGAGCTTTAACTGAACAGACACCGTATGAGGCACTACGAAACCGACGTCCAAACGTTTGAACATCTGAAGGTATTTGGTTGTGTATGCTATGGAAGAACAGAGGTTGCAGGAAGAAAGAAGTTAGATGATCGATCTAGAGTATTGGTGCACTTAGGAATAAAACCTGTCACAAAAGCATATCGACTGTATGATCCCTCAAGTAAGAGGATCATTATAAGCCGAGATGTACATTTTGAAGAAGAAAAACAATGGAGTTGGAACAAATGGTAATGAGTCGGGTTCATTTGAGGTTGAGTTGCTACCTTTGCAAGGAAACAATAAGGTGCAAATCGAAGATCCAGTGAATAGTGAGGTTGAAAAGTCTATAAACGGAAAAGGAGAGGATACTGAGGAAGACACAGAAGAACAAGAGCCCCAAATTCAACTAAGAAGATCATCGAGAATCATCACAAGGCCCTCATATCTATAGAACTATGTTCTACTTGCTGAGACGGAGTGTGAAAGACTATTAATGGTTCTAAATAATGAGCCATGGGATTACAATGAGGCCAAAAGCTTAAAGGTTTGGATTGATGCGTGCAAGGAAGAGATATGTTCGACTGAGAAGAATAACACTTGGGTGCTTGTTGAGTTGCCTAGAGGTTTTAAATCTATTGAGTTGAAATGGATATTCAAAATAAAGAGGAATGCAGATGGAAGTGTAAGCAAATACAAAGCACGCTTAGTAGCAAAAGGATATGTCCAAAAACATGGGGTTGATTACAACGAAGTGTTTGCTCCAGTTGTTCGTATCAATAGGATGGCTATTGCTCTTGTAGCTTCAAAAGGTTGGGAATTACATCATCTAGATGTTAAAACCGCCTTCTTGCATGGAGAACTGAAGGAAGAAGTCTATGTAAGTCAACCTGAGGGATCTGAAGTCAAGGGGAAAGAACATAAGGTTTATAAGCTCAAGAAAGCCCTTTATGGCTTAAAGCAGGCTCCTAGAGCATGGAATATTAAGCTAAATCACATACTGCAAGGTCTTGACTTCACCAGATTCTCTAAAGAGCCATCTCTTTACAAAGAAGAAGAAAAGAACGGCTTCCTTATTGTGTGTGTGTGTATGTTGATGATCTTCTCGTTACTGGTTCAAGCTTGCAGTGAATCATGGAATTCAAATCAGAGATGAGCAACGATTTTGCGATGAGTGACTTAGGTAAGTTAACATATTATCTCGGTATCGAAGTAAGCCAACAGGATGGGAGTATTGTGTTATCACAAGACAAGTATGCTAGAAAGATTCTTGAAGATACTGGTATGAATTAATGCAGTCTCACTCATGTACCTATGGACGTAAACCTAAAGTTGTCAAGATCGTCACAAGAAAAGAGTATCAATGAGAAAGAATACAGACAGAGTATAGGATGTCTTTGTTAACTATTGCATACACGGCCTGATGTTTCTTTCAGTGTAGGAGTTCTCAGTAGATATATGCAAGATCCTAAAGAATCTCATGGTGCAGCCTTGAAGCAAGTGTTGAGGTATTTGCGCGGAACTATATCATTGGGGCTTCGGTTTGAAAAATCAATGAATCATGAGCTAAGTGGTTTCAGTGATAGCTCACACAAGGTTGACATTGATGATGGTAAGAGCACAACTAGACATATATTTATCTCAATAAAAGTCCTATAACTTGGTGCTCTCAGAAACAAGAAATCGTGGCGTTATCATCATGCGAAGCTGAGTTTATGGCTGCAACGGAGACTTCAAAGCAAGCCATATGGCTTCAAGAACTCTTAAGTGAAGTCATGGGAGAAACATGTAAGAAAG